TGTTGAGAGCAGACCCCCCCACCCCCACCCCTCACCCCCTGCTTCCATGTTACAGGGGATTCCGTCCAAAAGTCGAGCAAATCGCCCAAGGAATGAAAAGTTTTGAAGAAAAGCGAGTAGTCGTTGCACGCAAGTATCGCAAGAGAATTGCTGATGATCTTTTGGTTGAAGTGAAAATCTGAGAGCGGTAATTTGCCAAATAAATGAAAGATTATCAAATAACATCAAAGAAATTTAATTTTTTTTTTTAAATTAAAAACTGTTATTACTCCTGAGCAAGGGCGGTCAAGTCAGTATAAGAGGAGGAACTATTTTGGCAATTTTAACCCGTTGCATCGCTTCACGGAGCACCGTGAGTTGTTGTGATCATACGGTGCTGGGTACTGGGAAAACACCTCCTGATCCCTCATGTTACATGCCACGAGAAGTGCTGACAAACTAATGAGAAGAAAAGGGGAGGGAGAGGAATGGGTTGGGGAAAGGGGAGGGGGCGGGGGTGCAGTTGAAGATCAAATGTCAACCGCACCTCAGGCCAGTCGGTTGGTACGGTCACATAAGTGGAACGCTTCCAGGACAGCGCGGACAAAGCCGGGCCGTTGGGGCCGTTTAACCGCCACTGGGATCACGAGCGGGAGAGCGCTCGCCTGTCAACGACTCTTTGACATTTGCCTTATTGCCAGGCGAATACAGGAGGAGGTGGGGGATATTTCCAACAGTCAACACAGTAGTTACCATTACAGTGACTTGTGCTTGCCATTGGGGAAATTTGAAGGGTTCTTTCCTTGGGGTCGTACACAGGTGTCAAATTGCGGTCCTGGAGGGCCGCTATCCCGCATGTTTGAGATGTCCCCAACCCACCGATAACGATCCCGATCACTTTAATCGGCTGTGGTGATGAGGGAAACATCGAAAACATGCAGCAGAGAGCCCCCCCCCCCCAAAGACCGGAGTTTGACACTTGAGGTTTAAGCGTCACGCTCATTTCGAGGATTCTCCGACACCCCATTTCCACCCAAAGAAACTTGGTGCTTATTCCCGCTTACAGCGACGTTCGGTCAAGAGCGCCTTGCGCTGTTAATCACAAGGCGCAGTTAGCAAGTGCTAGGCGACTTAGCACAGCATCAATAACACGTGTATATAACAGTATCAAAGAGTCAGGGACATGCAATCAGCAAACGCTGATCATGCATTCCTTAATCGTTGTAGATGATCATGAGACCGGCAGCTAGTCGGAGATCCGCGATCGCTTGCTGAACACATCCGCCATCACTCTTCCGGTGGAACACTATTGTGCCAGAGTTTACCGCTCAAACTTCTGTGTGTCCAGGGAGTCCTTCCTTCTACATCTGCGGTCGTCATGATAACCCGTTCCCCCGCAAACACTGACGGAGTTGGTGCAGTCTGACCCAAGATATAATTGGGGCCAACTTAAGCACCGGAGCTAGAGCCAATTTCGGTGGTGGAAAAAGAAAGAACTGGTACTAAGCTGGGCGCTGGATCGGAACTAGCACTAGCACAAGCGCTGGAAAAAAATACAAATATAAAATGAGCTACCCAATACCAGTTTCAACTACCGACACAGAATCTCGTGGACACGTCTATCATGACCAGGCCAGGGGCTAAGAATCTGAAAGACCCGCGCACCGAATCGAACAACCATTTGGAGCAGGTGTCATTTCTCAAAATGCCAAAGCTTTTTTTGCGTACGCCATCTATTGAGGGCAGAGCGTGTGGTGTCAAAGATGGAGGCGCATTTTGAGGACGTCAAGAACTCAGCCGACACCACTTTCACCGAAATTTAGCTCCAGCGGGGATTCGACACCAACGGGACAAAAATGCACCTGCTGTTTTGTCATAATGGTGAGCACTTTGGAGCACTCAACACTGGCTGTACGCTTTTAGAGTCATGATTCAAGGCCTAACGTAACAAGTGCAGCCAGAGCTTGTTTGCCACAACCAAATCTATTGAGGTTAGTGAGGGGTCACCCGCAGCCTTGAAAGGAGAAACCACTGTCACTCGTAGCTTCCCTTAAAAAGAAAATGTAGGGGACCCTCGCCGATTTGCAAATTACAAACTTGTCAACTGGTGAATTTTTCTGTCCAACATAAACTATTAGCTGAAAGAGACATTTTTCAATCATTCTTAAGGGTTGTGCTGTCAGACGAGCTGGAAGGTGTTATGAAATATGCTCTATTTAGGATTTTAACTATTACAATAACAAAGTAGCTCTAATGAAGATTGAAGGGCAGCGGTGTCCATTTTTCGCTGCTTTCTTTCTATTTACGTCACTAACTTACATGAATGGCAAGGCTTTATTAACCAAGTGATTCCAAACCAGTGTGAATCGAAAAATTATTCAATTTCAGTAAATTGGTCTGTAAAATTCCTCACGAGTGCTGCAGCTGTAGAAAATGTTAAAATACAAAATTCTACCGATTATGCCACCGATTAGCTGAGTAATCAGATAAAGAATTTTTTTGAGCTATTAAAAAACATGGAATCAAAATGATTCCTTTAGATTTTTTAGCCAATGTTACGTTGATTAATTACAAGGAATAATCTGTCGAATGTCATGGAGCTCAACAAAAATCAGACTTATTTACTGTCAAGTGGCTAAAATTGGAGGATAAGAACATTTTTCAATTGAACAATGACTCAAAAGAATTAACAAAACTAGAATAACAAAACAGTTGTTGATTAATATTGTTGCACCTCCAAAGGCGAACGCTGAAACGTGAATCTGGATGGGGAAAAAAAATCGTTGCTTATTTGGAGTGAATGTTCAACTATCAATGCAAGTGACGTAGGGTAACAGCACAGCACAGGGACGGCAAACGCTCATCCACTGGAAAATACAGTTTCCACTTTTGGTGACAACTGGTGGTGCGCTGTAATAGTCTACTCCTCGAAGATATGAACTTTGCCCAATACATGTTGGGAAACACCGCATTATTCTGTTTCCACTTGGTGTGTGTGGTGACGGTCTCCCTGCCTACGGTAAACAACTTGGCCGGTGGTTCACCTGCAAGGCCCCAGAGAAAACTAAAATAACGCAGTCAAATCGAAGAAAATGTCTTACCTGAGGTTCCGATTTCCATTCATGAGGTCACTGCCCGGTTTACTTCCCGGATCCCACTTGGCAAAAGCAAACAAATGAGAAAAAAAACCCTGCGCGATTCCTCCTTGCTTCCTCCCTCCTCCGGCTTCTCCTCCCTTCAAGCCGGTGTCTCCCCGCGGCTCAGCGACGCCTGTGCCCCCGCAGAATGGCGGACTCCAGGCCTCTTCGAGCCCGCCTTGCCTGGGGGAAGCTGTCAAGCCTAAGGCCGCCCCTCCACCACCTCCTCGCCGTTGGGAACGCGTCCAATCCCGCTGTTAGCGCGGCGCCCCTCGGTTTAGCTAGCTCGCTCGCGAAGCCTTATTTGTTAGGGGAGGGGGGCATTAAAAAGTATATCTGCGGTCAGGAAGTCATCGCAGCGGGGTTAAAGAGTGCTCAGAAGCCGAAGAGGCACCTTTGGAGTGGATTTAAAACCGTGTCACTCGTAATTACACGTCGGGCGAACGGGCTAACATTAGCCGGTTAGCTCGCTGGCGACGAGGTGGAATTGTGACGGTTACTTTTATGAAGGAGGGAAGTAAGGGGCGAAAAAAAAACCCAGCAAAACAGGCACTTTTGCCGGCTTGATCGTCTTCGACAGCCCGGTTGGCCAAAACTGAAAAAATAAAATACAATAAAACCCAGCTGTCAAGTCCTCGGTGTACGCCGAAAGAGTTGAGATTTTTCCCGAGGATGACAGATGAAATGTGAAGCTGTCTGGCTGGGGAATCTCTCCGCGTCGAGCTTGCTAAATATGGGCAAGTCGGCTTTGGCACCGGTTACGTCACGACTAGAGCTCCTCCCATAACTTCCTGTTTCGGCACAATTACGTTGTCGGTGATGCTGTGAATGTCATGTTCGCTCCCACATGGATTACGAGTACTTTTGTGTTCCACTATTTACACCTACTAATTATTGTGAGTTTGTGGAGTTTTCTTGTTTACGTAAATCAACATATACATGATGTGATCTCGTAGGTTCCATTATAAGTATATGAAATAATTCATTTAATTAATGGTACTGTATACAGTAATTAAAAATGAATATAAGTATGAATAATGTAAGGCTAACTTTTGAGCGACATTGCCAGAAGGGAGTGATTTAACAATAGAATTCACGCGATTTAGTCATGTACTAGAACAAATATCATTTTTTCCTCAAATACATATGTTCAGATTAAATTTTTTGAGTTTTTTTTTTAATAAATATTCTTACCTTCGTGAAACCGCTTTCTCAGTGCTAGTTCGAGGACACTGCAAACAACAACCATGAGGACCAAAATATTTCTCAAGATATACAGTCGCAATATTACAATTTGTAAATTTACCTCCAGATTTTACAGTTTTTACTTTACAAAAGAACCAACATCTTGACATTCTCATGTAACCAAATAGCCAAAATGTTAAGGGGTCTATGAGGACCCCCAAAAATTTAATATTCAGCTGCCCAAAATTTGGTTGTTTCACCAGTTTGTGCTAGGATGCCTAATTAAGTGACCCACGCAAGCATACAAAAAGGCATACAGGGGATTATTTTTAAAAAAAAGACAATTTTATTTTTTCTTAAAAAATAACCCTCCCCACAGAGTTTCCAATACTACTTTCACATACAGAGCCAAAAGAGCGTAACTTTTCCATGTCCTTTCATTCCAAATCTATTGGGAAGTGCTATGACAAGGACTGTTCTTGATCAGTGGCTTCGATATTGCTTAGTCAGATGGTGAGGCTGCCGGCTGTCATAGATACATTCCTACCCCCCACCCCCAACCCCAGCCGGCCTTCCCGCTCGCCTGCCCGCCCCCTCTTGCAAGGTGCTTAGTGGCTTCAGTGAGTGAGAACTGCATCTGGTTTCAGCGGCGCAAGGTAATCCCGCGAAACTTTGTATCATTATTATGTGGAGAGGGGGGAACGAACGAGACGGCGGGAGGGCACTGGCCCCCGAAAAAACTGTGACAAGGCCTGGCGAGTGGTGAGCCAAAAATACATAACAGGTTAATATTATATATTTATATGTACAAATCACCTTCAACACAATAATGGGTCAGTAAAACGTCATACAAAGGCTTTCTTTTTTTGTGTGTGTGTGTGGGCGCGGAGGGGGGATAATGCAACTCCATAAATGTGATTTAACCCCCCCCCCACAAACACATTTGGAGGGCGCCCAAGGTGGCATTTGGACCAAAGACTCTTTCACACAGAGCGCCTTTTCTGAAGAACCCAGCCGAAGCGAGATAAGTTCGCATTACTGCCTGCGCTTTCACACAGACAAGGCATCCCACAAATGGATATTGGACAACAGCGTTAGACACAATTGTTTAGGAGTGTCGTGTGCTAAAACTTCACATCCCCTGGTCCAGGAAATGAAGAAACGTTTCAATTCTGATACTACCTCCAAAAGGTGGAAAACATAAATGAGATTTGGCAGAAAAAAAATGAGGCAAGCATAAATTAATGTCAGGTGTTAAGCTTGCTATCCCTGGTACTGGGATAGCTTGACACACAGCGAGTGTCCCGCCTCTGAGCACTAGACTGACTACCTCCAAAGATGGAGAAAAAATGTCAGCCAGCAACTATTTTCGACACAACAATGTGGCGGAGAGAGAGAGTGTCAGTGACAACTCGGTTTCCGCATCTTGGGCGTGAAAGAAAAAAATGCGAGGGTTGCCATATGGGGAAAAAAAAAATCAGGAAAATGCCAAACAGCGACAGTTGTTTTCAATACAATTGAGCGGCAGAAGTGAGTGTTCAGGTATTAAACTTCAAAGCCCTTGTGGAAAACCCGTCGAAAAACTCAACACCTCTATTCCGACACTGACTTCCTCCATTCCGCCATTATCCAGGCCATGTATGTGTTTGGAATATGGGAGGAAAGCGGAGTACCGGGAGAAAACCCATGCAGACACTGGGGAGAACACACAACCTCGAGAATCAAACTGTGGATCTCTGACCACCACATTAAAGGCACAAGAATTGCCCAAATGACTGTGCACCCTCATTCTTCAGTGCTGTTCATACAAAACCAGAGATGCCAACCGGCCCAATTTTTCCGGAATGCCCAGACAGCAGAATGGCAACTGTGTCAATTGTGCTACAGATTCACCCCCCTCAAGTGGAAACATCATGGGGGTTGACATCTCAGTTTCATCTGCATAAATGGACGCAACGCAAAATATGGGGGATGAAGTTGGAAAAATGGGGAGCTGGTGGGGGGGCGGGACAAAACCTACAATTTTCCATTTTTGGAGGTAATACATAAAATCCGGGTGGCGAAAAGCCTTAGCTAGCTTAGTTTAGCATGCTAGGGTGGTCTCTTTTTTTGGATTAGTCTTTTGTGGTCAGGATGTTATTGCAGCAGGGATGAGGAGTCCAAATAAAGCCAAAGAGACAACTCAAGTAGAGTTAAAGCTGTGTCACAAACCATTATACGTCTGCAAAGCTAGTTCATGATAGCAGATTAGCTCACGCGCAACAATGTGGAATTCTTTAACTTTGTTACTTAGTTACGTAGAAAAATCGTGAGGGCAGCTCTTGTGTTCTGTAGAAATGGCAATGACTTGAGATGTGGGGACAAACTTGTAAAAAAAAAAAAAAAACAAACAAAAAACGTTTTATTCATTTTCTGTCTTTGGAGGGAAAAAAAAAAAAAAAAAAAAAAACGTTTTATTCATTTTCTGTCTTTGGAGTTAGTACCAGATCCAAAACAAAATGCTCCTTTGTTCATTCCCCCCGCCCACCACCAAAATCATTTGAAGTCCTCACCTGCTGGACCACAGGTTCTCAAAGCTATTCGAGTTGGCCAAAAAAATGAATCCAACTCAAAAAGTAAGGCAGTGTGAAAGGGGCTTCGCTCTTCACAGACACGGGTCACGATACTCAAATGATATTTTGTAATCTTGTAACTATTTCACAATCGAGGCAAACAGGCAGTGAAAACAATGCCCACCGTACAAAAAAATAAGGTGGCTCAGATAATCCAGTTTTACAACGTGTTACATGCATCATCATCATCATTATTATTATCATAGTTCAAAAGGCAGGGTGTATTGAGTGGTTGCAACCCCCTTACCCGTGCCACCCATGCACACGGAGCACCAAGGGAAATTGGCTGACACCCGCTGAAGATGGCAGGGTTTCCCAAACTGAGAGTCCGTACATTTCTTACACTAGGGGGAGCCGATCAATATCGTCATCTTATTTCTTTCATTCATTCATTTTCTGATCCGCCTATCCTCACGAGGGTCTCGGGGGTGCTGGAGCCTATCCCAGCTGTCTTCGGGCAGTAGGCGGGGGACACCCTGAACTGGTTGCCAATCAATCGCAGTCATCTTATTTCATTTATCAGAATCTGAATAAATTGAGCTTATTACAGAAAATTTGGTAAAAATTGTCAATTGAGCGAGGTGCTCAATTGACAGTTTTTTGCTTTTATGTGGGGAAGGGAAACTGTCTGGAGGGGCTTTTTTTAATTCAACTTTCAGGAAACCTGGAAATTTCCTTCCTGGGTAATATTTAGTAAATCTCGCTAATAATTGCGGCTCCACTACTGATCAACAAGTTTGGGAAACCCTGAGCTAAGGGATTGAGAAGCGCTAAACGCGGGTGTCGGGCGCAAGGATGGTGACGATGGCGGAGAATGAGGAGTGTTGAGGAAGAAGTGCATTTGAAGTGGGATAGTCTTGAGAGCGTGTGCTTCTGCTGTCTAGGCGGTGAGGTAAGAGCTACGTGTAGTGTGCGAGTTGTAGTGTACAAAGATGAGGCCATTTGGAAGTAAGAACCCCCAAAAAATAAAAAAAATTAAAAAATGAAAACGTCAAAACAAAAAGTGCCTTGTCAATCATTTAAGAGCGTACAGACAAAAGTAATAAAAATAAGTTCCCTGTTGAAGTTCCCCTTTTCCCATTGGTTGGTTGTTCTTTTTTTGGCTGGTTAATAATGCTGGTTCAGGTGCATGGGGTGCATGTATCTTTGCCACACCAGGGGTGGGGAACCTGTGGACCACCACCGCGGAAAGAGGAGGCAAAAAGGTTCCCCAGCCCGGGCTCAATGCAATGGTCCCTCTATTGTAAGATTATGCGAAGCCCTCTCAAGGCTCTAAAATATGCTACGCCCGCTTAGGAAAATGAAGACTTTAGCCTACCACGTGCAGGCACCTACGTGCTAAACACTAAGTGCTAATGTAGCTCAAGGTGGGTTTAAAAACATCAAAATAATCACATTATTTGTAAAAAATAAAACATTAAACACAATGAAAGTAAGCAAAAGGATTCCTCATCCTTGTGGTTTTGGAACACTGGCATCCGGACGTCGGATTGGGTTCAAGAGGCAGCATTGTGGACCGCCTACTTTCTTCCCTATTGCATACTTACTTGCATGTATGAAGGTAGTACACAATATTACACAGTAGGCGCGACGGAAAAAAAAAAAAAAAAAAAAAAAAAAAATCAAACAGTCCCGGTCAAGTAAAAACAAAGCAACAATCACAATAATAATAATATTCTGAACCTTTTGAGTGCATGAGGCTGGAGAGTGTTTTGAAGATCGGATCAATGCGGCTGGCTGGCTCTGGAAGATGAGTTGTGGGCAGTCACACGGGGATAAGGGAAGGGGATGAGGTGGTCGTCGTGGCGGGGACCTGCGTGCCCACTTGGGTGGAAGTGACATGGCGAAGGAAATGACGGGTGGCTTGGTATGCAGCTCAGGCGAAGTACATGGTCCGCAGGGTGTCATGGTGGATCTGGACTGCCTTGGCCAGCGCCTGGGGGTCACGACCATTACTTTGACCCGACACGTGGCTGCCCTCCCCGCTGCAAGCAGACACACCAAGACCACCGGTTGAGGCTGGATTTACACCGTAAGATTCAGTATTTTCTCTCTCAAGTAGCACAACTGGCATGCATGGAATCAAAATGCGTGGAATCAGACATCCTGCGGCCCCTTCCAAATGCGGACAAAAAAGAAGAAAAAAACCCCAACAACAATCGGATATCTATTAGATATCTGCCAATGTTGCAGGCTTGAGTACCGCATACACATCCATCCAAACAACACAAATGAATATTGAAAATCTGTCAACATCCAGGAAGCTATAGTGAAAGCATGGAGCAATTACAATTGGTGTTAATATGCCACAAGAATATTCGCATTTCATGTTCTATACGCCTCTAATGTAACATTAGCACGGTGTATAAACTTTAAATCCATCCAAATGCTTCACTGGGAACCTGCACTGGCGAAAAACAGTTTTAACGCCATTTTTCTACAAGTGAGTATTGACATACTTTTTGAGACAGGGTCTTTAAAATTGTGTGCCTGATTAGAGGTATAGGCAGCATAAAAGATCATCCAAATGCAGTACGATGGATATTGTAAAATCTACCTGTTCATGTTTATGGCTCAGCTTTCAAAAATCCTGAACCCTGATTGGTCCGTTTCGTGAGTAACTGTGATGACATTTTCAGTCGACAGTTAGTGGCAAAATGCCCCCCATGAGATGGCTAAAAACGGATGGGTTTTGCCACTAAACTCCTTTTCCACAAACACAATATTCATCAGAATGCTGCGTTTAGACTAGTGAACACGCATAAAAATGGTAAAGAAACTTTTTGGGCTGACTCCTCATTTAAGGCCTTGTTTGTATAGTCAATGCTTTTTAAGACTTTCTGAGGATCCGCGGGAATCCTGTTTGTAAGAACATTAAATAGAGGCACATAGAGAGACCATTAAATATGTAAATCTGCCCATAGCTATTTACACTCATGGTTTATGCCAATCATGTTCCCAACCTGTCGTGCTCTTTGTCCACAAGATGGTAGCGGGCGCGGAAGGCCACGAGGCGGGCGTAGTATGCCGGCGCCGGGATGGACACGGAGCGGGTGCAGCGTACGTAGGTGTGGCACAACTGGTAGGTGAGGATCTGCAACTCGTCGGCCGTGAAACGATTGTCATCCCACAAGACGTAATAATGTGACGGCCGGCTCGTACCCTGGAAATGGAGAAAAGGCAACAAACGGACATCACACTAAGTGCAGAATCCCAAAGGTTTTAAAAGGTGCAGCATCAAACCTTCCTGCCAAGGCTACTCGCAATGACCAAAAGTAAAAGGGTTTGCAGTGTATTGTCGTCCACCTATCTGGAATACAGTTGGTCAGTCGATGAAGCAAATAACTAAATTGAAACTAGTTCTAAACCAAACCCTCAGACTTTGGGTGTGATTTCGGGCATGTGTTTTTTTTTTTTGTTTTTTTTTGTGGCTCTCTACTTGTGATTGATATGCCGACCAAATTGAAGTCAGATTAGCTTCAGTGTCTGATTTAGATTTTTTTTAGACCGTTGTTTTGGTGTTTTATGGCAAATCACCAACCTATGTCCAGACACAATGCTGAAAACGCCAAAGTTTCACAATTGAGTGTTGCCTAACAGTCTTGTTTTAAGACCGCTGGTTCAGATAAACTCTCAATCAAGGGCAAGGCTTGGGAATCGCCAAACGTATCCTAAAATGGACGTTTCTTGCCAAAATGGCAGACGAATGTGTGTGTGTTTTCGGGCTCGGCTTCTTGGAACTTTTTTTTGTGGGTCTACAAATAGTCGGCACGTCTACAAAAGTCAATGTCGCTTAGCTTAACTGGCTTTGTGGGCTGAATTTCATTAGTTTTGTGTTATATGTTATCCTGAATTGGGCGACGCTTTTGATGGACCCTGGAAATGGGCAAAATACACTTTTTGTGGATGTAAGTGGAACGAGATTAGCCGTTACCACATAGCTAGCATCCATACCTGTATGCCTGCGTGGCTACACAGGTAAAAGTCAAACTCAAAGGGGTGAGTGATGCTGGTGTCCACTGTAGTGCCCGCAGGTATGTTCCCGCTTTTGCCGATCTAGTAAAAAAGAAAAAAGACAAATCTATGAACAGGAAAATGGGTATGACAGTGCTGTCGTATCCGAAAAATGGCGCACCCTCTCAGACTTGTCAGCGCAGAAAAGGCGCGTGTGATGGCGTTTCTGCACCACGATGTAGGTGATGCCGGGCTGGTAGTCCTTCTCCAGCTTGATGCACGCGTCCCTGATGGCCAGCAGCTCATAGTGGAGAATCTGAAGTCAACCACAAAACTATTGATGTGCATTTTTAGCGAGGGATTAAAAAAAAAAAAAACATCAGTTTTTCAAGATGGATTTTTTTTCCAGTTACACTGACACAAGGTAATGTGATGCTAAACAAAAACGGCAGCACAGAACACCACCTGTAAAAAACGCATTTTGACAACTGTTAGAATTCAAGTAGACCCTCTTTCGACCTGCGGCAGCTGTCCCTCGGGAACACCGTCCCTGTAGAAAATGATCCTGGTGGGCTTGAAGCGGGTGGACTTGTAGAACTGGATGAGCAGCTCGCGCACCATGTAGGACAGGTCCTCGATGATCTCCTGCCGGGGCCGCTGGACCCGCACAGTGGCGCAGTAGCGGCTGGGGTGAGCGTCCATGCTGCCCACCACCTACAAGCCGCAGAGGGAATAGCAAGGGAGCATGAGCACCTCTCGGTGGCGAGCACATGGAAGCGAGGGAGCAAACTTGTGAGCTCGGGCCACATTTGATTTTTAATCAATCAACAATGTAACCAATTAATAATTGAAATAAATGGCTGAATACAATGAAGCAATCTGAGGGGGTTTGGCTAAATTAATACAACAAATATTGCAGGAATCTTGTTAATGTTACAGGCTTAGCCCACCGTTGAGCCAGAATGATGATCTCCTTGGAAATCATTCTGGAATCGCCTTTTTCTTCCCCTCCACCTCGCCCCGTCACTCTCCCTCACCCCATCATGTGATTCAAGCATCTGTCACCATCGCTAGGCAACAAAACAACCAATCGCAGCTCGGCTGAAGTCAGCGGCGGCTGAGGGGTTGACGTCATCTCAATTTTTCAACGTGACTCAGTTTGATGAGACATTTCTCCTTCCTCACCCTCCTTTTTGAGTTTTTTTTTTTTTTTTTTTTTTTTTACTAGTGAGCAAAAGTATTTGAACGCGTGAATTAAGTGTGACCTATACAAACATTAAATGGCACTGAATGTGAGATTTGGCAAGATTTTTATCCAAAAGTACTTTTGGATAGAAGTGTAACAAACATGAAAATCAGAGACTTGTGGGTGAAAAAGCTCAAGGAAATGACCTCACTGTTTGAATACTTTTCAGCATGGGGAGTATGCAACATCTGATAATTTTTCCCTCTTCTCGGAAATGAGTCGGCTGTCATGTAACTTCAGCAAATCCCGCATGACTTTGACTTGGCTCGTGTCAAATGGATCATTGCCACACTTTTTTTTCAAAGGACTTTTGTGTCTTACCAGAGTGGTAGCAAAAAGGAAAAGTTGAGCACAGCAACGGAAATGCGCGGTCGAAAAGCGAACGCTAACATAAATAGACTTGCAACGACCCCGAGAGACTTCTGACAGTACCCGGAAACCGCCACTGGGTGTCAGTCATGCTCTGTAAACTTTGTTGACACTTACGGCAGTGATGGAAGGTTTCTTGCCATCTCCAGCAGGGGGGTGCGTCACATCTGCTCCAAGGAAGATAACGGGCTGCTGGAACACC